CATCCGGCCCGGATCCGATCTGGACCCGTTCATTTAGTGGGTCTATACCTTATTTAAAATGGGTAATCTGGCCAAAACTAGCTATGGAAATACCTAAAATAGAGCCAACAAACATTATATAGACTAGACTACTCTATAAAAGTGTAATATGTCTCCCTTTATTAATATTAATAAACCATAAAATCATTCAAAACTTGAAAAAATCTCAACTTTCCTTGGCCAATAATAATGAAACGCTCTATAAAAAGTAGGTAATTACATGAAGAAAAATAAAAAATAAAATGCAACCACAAATTGTACAAAAACATTGTTTTATTTAATGAGAAACTTTACCTCTAAAAAGACAATTCAGTTCAATAACTTTGTAAACATTTACGAATGAATTAGTTCAATTTAGCCATAAGGAATTTTATAGCACACAAAAGTTTCATTATTCACTTTGTGTCAGCTTGATGTTGATTTAATCAAATTCAATATCAGTGAAAATATTGCAAAATTAATACATTATGAAACAAAGTCTTGGCGATAAAGCAGCTGTGGAGAAAACGGTGATATCATAATCCAGCTCAATTCAGTTCAAGTCTTGTCTTTATGCAATAGTGTCAGTACAATCAAATCAATATTATGCTTGAATATTCAGTGTCGTTTAAACCGCAGCTAAGCAAGCCAGAGGTGACAGTGGAACCCAAACTCCAGCAGGTGACTGAAACGAAGAAAAAACAGCTTGGGAGAAACCAGGAGCAGTCAGCTCAGCTCTCCTTTGGTTAAATGAACAAAGATGGTGTGCTTATGATTTCAGTGTGCATCACTAGTGAGACTGTGGACTGATGTCATTCAGAATATTTCATCCAGCTCCTGCTGTTTGAAGATCAGGATACAGGATACGTCACGCTGTCATTTGATCAGAGGAGAAATTGTAGTCTGTCCAGCAGGGCTGCCGTTTAGCCAGTAGTGGACGACTGGATTAACAGTGACTATAAGCAGGATAAAACTGCATTGTGGTCCTAGCAGCTCCTGGCCTGACACATTCATTGCTGGCCATAGGGGTCTGTGCAAAGGACTTGTCTGTTTCTCGTAGTCTTTGCTGAGGATCTGTGCTGATGTCAGTCCAGTCGTCTCAGGTCGTCTCAGGGTGCAGGTCCACCATCTGATCTGGATATGGACCGGATCCGGCTGACTAAGATAACCATAGGACAAGAGTGCGACAAAAACATTGAAATAAGTAACAAGTATCGGTGTTGACTTTTTCTC